AGCTGAGTAAGATAATCTGGTGTCAGAAAAGGTTAGGTAGACTCTTGTTTGCTTTGATGTGTGCTGGTTAAAGTAAGAATTCCATTAGTAACAAATCTGCTAACCTAGTTGCAATTTGTGGCCTTTTCCTCTATTTTTAATTTCATGATTTGCTATTACTTCTACAGTTGTGTTCCAATTTTTCCATGTCATCATTATAATATTTTAGCTAAGAACAATCACTCACAGATCAAATACGCAAACAAAGTCCAAACAAAGTTGGGACATCTCAAGGCCATGTGACCAGCGTGACTCCACAGGAATTATTCTGTGTATGTAAAAGTTCTGCCTTGAGCTAAATGGCAGAGGAAAGCTATGTTTAGGACATTTGTAGAAAATGAAATGCTTCTAAGTTTTGTCATTCCTATCCTTCTAAACACCCATTATTTACTTGAAGCTTATATTTCTCAGGTCCAGAATGTCAACCTTTTCTTTCTGCTTGAGCAAATGCCTCACTTAAGAAGAACAACTGGAACAGCTTCTGTGGGAAGCAGCCTACTGGAGTGAAACCTGGGCTCATGCCATTTAGCTTTAGACATTTCATTTAGGTGCCTGAACTTAAATATTTATTTTCTTGACTCTTGCTAGCCAGGTTCCCAGCCTGAATCACCTTATTACAGTTTCTTTGTATTTTCACTGACATGAAAGAAAATGCAAGCAAACAAACACGTATTTAGCTATCAAATGTCGGCTCTAAAGTTAGGCATTGCACACACTCCCCAGTTGTGACTGTATTATACAACATCAGAGACGATGTTACATAAATGGTATTTTCTTTGCATTTCATTCCATGAGCCTAGGAAATTGAAGACTAAAAAATGGTCTCATTAATAAAAAGACTGAATTATAATTTATTTTGTTTGACACAAACAATGGTGATCTGCACACAAGAAATCACTACATTTCACAAAGAAGAAAAATTGCATTTATTAGTAAAATAAGTTCATTCTGTTTTATCTATATTCTTAGGGGCATTGTTTAAAAATGTATTTAAAAATGAGAGATGAAAATGAAAGATAATACATATAGAAAAATGCCATTTTTCATGTAATTATATATAGCACATTAAGTAGCAAGACAATCTAGTCACTTTGAAAGTGAAAAAATCAGCCATGCTCATTGTTTGCTGTTGAGCATCAAGAATCTCACCCTTTTCCAACTGCAGTGTGTTGCAGCAGCTTCACACAGAGCCTTGAAGCAGCTTTAATCACAGAGCCTTGAAGCAGCTCCCTTCTGCCAATCCTTGCAGCCGCATTGCTGCTTTCAGCTCCCCACCTAACAGACAAGTACATCTCAGTCTGCTAAAACTGCACCAAGGGAACACAGAAAGAAGAAAAAAAATATTCCTTCAAAAGGCCTGGCAGAACATAAAGCATATAGCTAGAGATGTAGATATAGATTCAAACTCCTTCTAATTATATTTTTCCTGCTGTTGATTCTCGTAAATATATATATGCAAATATATTCTTAGCAAGTATTGAGCATAAAAGAGAGAGGGGAAAATGCAAACCCCAAAATTATATTCTGCAATTAAATTGATGTCTGCAAAACAGGAGATCATGCTAAATTTAAAAAAAAAAAAAAAAAAATCTCATTACCAGTAAGCCACCTGCTGAGATAGCGAGTCCTCTCAGAGACTACTGTGTCTTTTAATATTGAATTGTCTACTCTGGAGTGCAAAGGAGGGAGAGAAAAAAGGAGAGGAGGATCCTCGATTTCATTAGATTTTGAATGTTCCTCTGGAGATGCATATCTATCTCCCTTGACAAGATCAGAGTCTTGGGCCCTCACTTGGCTTCTTTCAAAGGTACAAGCAGCATGTCCAGGAGATTGAAAGCCTAAAGAAGATTCATGTAAGGCATGGAAGACTGTAAAAGAGCAGGCACCCAAGTTGTTATGCTATTCATTCATAAGCTAAGAATTTATATTTACACAGGTCGTACTGAGGGTAAAATAAAAAATACACACTTTCAAGAGAAAACTTTGGGTCAGACCCTGACTTCTTTTAAATTGCTGTCGCCCCATTATGTTATTGAGGTTAAAAAATCATCTGAAGTTGCAACAATTAGTTGGCAACAATAAATTGCATTTGCAACATCCAAAGAACTGTATAGCAAGAAAATGGAAAATTCTACCATTATCTATCTGGAGAAGCAAGTGTAGCGAATGTAATTCTCCACAGTCTAAAATACAACATTATTTGCACAGATAAAAAAATGAATGCTAAGTGGCTGAAAATACCAACAATCTGAACTGGTAAACGTTTACAACCAACTTACAAAAGCCTCCAGGAACTGCATGCAGTGTAGGACAGCACCATGTAAGACATGTCATAATAGCTCACACTGGTAATGTCATTATTACCTTTCTAGTGATAACACCGTGAATACAATAGAAGTAACTTATTAAATTGTTGATCTACGCCAAAATTAAGCTTTTTCATGGGAATTTTTGACTAAGCACTAGTAATTCAAGTGGAGAGGTTTTATATGTATATACACTTTTCAAATGGGATTTTCTATTGCATTGTTTCTGTGATGTAGTACATGTAAAAATAAGCCATTTTTCCAGAATAATACTGTCGAGTACCTCTTTTTTTGGATGAGCATCTTGTTTCCAAATGCTTTTGAAAATGCAGTCTAAGTAAACCGATTTTATATGGAATTACCTAAATATAGACAGGGAAAATTTTACATGAAAAAGTCCTACATAGTATCTTCTGCTTAACTGACACCTTTTTTGTAGCTGATGGGAATTCTGCCATTGAATTAGATTTTTAAAAAATACTATAATGTAGAAAAAGTTCTATTTAAATATGTTTTAGCCACTTTTTTTTTTTTAAATTCAACCTATTATTTCTGCTTTTTGAGGGTAAGCAATGTTCAGGTTTTTGCAAAGGATGAGCCCGCATGATGGGGAAAGGGGCATCATCTCTAAGTCCCAGTCACACAGCAGACAATGAAGCCTAAGGTGGCTTTCTACCAGCTGCCTGAAATACTGCTGCCTTGGCACTTGTGGAAGAACACACAAAACCCAGCAAAGACACCAAGTAAATACCTGAATTTAGAGCCACCCCAGAGCTCTGCAGTTCCATAGCTACGCTGCTGCCACTAGAAAAGTTACGAAGATGAGATGAAGTCATGCAGTAACTGCAATATGGACAAGATCAAAATAGGTCACACAGAATGAATGTTGCACTGTGGTGGTAAAAGACAGACTTATAAAGAACTGAGCAAGAGACAGAAAATATGAGGGAACAATGCGGTTAAAACTTAGAAGCAGATGTTACAGCAGTCTAACTTTCATTATGCTAGAGATGATTATTAATGATCTTCCAGGCCAAGAAAGCAATGAGGTAGCACAATATGAAGATGACAGAAAATAATTTAAATTAATCTGAACAAATAAACATGAATTTCACAGATATCCAGTGAAGTGTATCAAATCTTGTTTCTTTCTGCTAAGCCTGGAATAGAACTAAATTTTTAGCATTTTCAGGTGGTATTTTTACACATCTAGAAAATCAAAACATGAACTGAAGAGAGGGGTGCACTGGGAAATTAAAAAAAAAAAAAGGCATAAAATCATAAAATTGCTGCCTTACACAAAAAAAAAAAGTAATTCTGGGAGCAAAATTGGTGGCTTTCACCAGTCACAAAAAGATAACCTATGAATTCAATTGTCTGCATTAGCATACTGAAAATATTGTCACTTCCTGTACATTTGTACATATCCGCTTGTGTTATAATGTAATTCTTCGGGCATTTCAACAGTAAATGAAAAATTATTTCCATCTATCACTTACTACACAATCTTCATGCTTTTGTCTTTCTGAAATAATGAGCAGATAGTTAAAAACAGGCATGGTGTAATTCACTCTTTTTTATATATGTCATTATTTTGCGTCCCTTTCACCTCCTTGCTGCATCCATCTGCTTTCTGCAGTGTTGGGCTTAGGACATGCTAAATATGCTTAATTTATGTAAACAGTCAGTGACAGAGCTTGTCATGCATGAAAGTAAACACTGATGTGTGTCTCTGCCTTTAAAAGGACCTACAGTTAGTTACACGCTGCGCAGTCTGGTGAAGGAGCCCGGATCGTTTACTCCTACCACAAAAGTGCTGCAGTGAACAGTGACAAAAGCGAGGGCAGGGCAGCCTCAGGTGGGTTTTACATTGAAGGGCAAGACCGGCTGCATTTCACATTTCAGGGGCTGAATGATGTTTTAAAGCTAAACTATGCAACATCTCCTTCCACGACAGCACAAGAAGCTGGTGGACAAGAGCCAAGGTGTGAGCGTGGCCTGCCACGGGCGATGACGCCCGCACACCCACTCGTGTGGCAGCGACAGGCGGCTCCGTGCGCCGACCCCGCTGCCCTCACCTCGCACAGGGAAGGAGCCACACGGGGATCGGCCTCTCCTCCCAGGCAACTGCCACTCCTGTATGAAGACATAGTGTAGAACTGTGCCAGGGCATGTTTAGGTTGGATATTAGAAGAAAAATCTTCACAGAAAGGGTGATTAGATAACAGAATGGACTGCCCAGGGAGGCGGTGGAGTCGCCATCCCTGCAGGTGTTAAAAGACTGGACGTGCCACTCGGTGCCACGGTCTGGTTGACAAGGCGATGTTTGGTCACAGGTTGGACTCGATGATCTCAGAGGTCTTTTCCGACCTCACTGATTCTGTGATTCTGTGATCATCCCGCGCCGCCGGCGCTGTTCCCGCACGCCGGGCGCAGCGCGGTTCCACGCGTGCAGCGAAGGAGCCGCCGATCGAAGCGCAGCCCGCGGGGCAAGGCACGGACGACGCCGGGCACAGGGAGCCTGCGCTCGGCCGTGAGCGACTCCGAGGCCACCGGGCCGAGCCGGCCGCGGCGCCAGGGCCGACCCCGCCGGGCTGCGC